ATCAGAGTAAGCCGGCCCCCAAAAAAGAGGTGTGTGTGAGACCAACCGGAGATCCGACCAATCTTCCTCTGTCTAACGTTAGTAAGGAGCTCATGCGAGAAGTGAACCTTGTACGGAGGGGTACCGAGGTAGATGATAGGGAAGTCTCCGCGCGCGAAGCCATTGCGCTGGTGGATCCAATGGTCCCACTGGTCCGTAATGTGATAATCTAGGGTAAATGTTCTTGTTTGCACACTGACAAGCTGACTAGAAACCGAGCTATAGTGCCCTAGGAGGCGCATGAGCTTGGTCAATCCATTATTATCCGCACGAGTGAAGATAATAATGTCATCCGCATAAGAGCGGTGCGAGATGGGGGACCATAGCTACACATGATATATGCCATTCGGAAAGGCAATAATGAATCCGTCAAGACAATGAGACAGGTAATCCACTGCCAGGACAAAAAGGGAGAGGGGTTTGGGGTCCCCTTGCCGAAGACCCCGTATGGAAGGAAAGAAGTCAGTAGGGCTATCGTTAATAAGGACCGAGAACGTGCAGTGCTCCACGTACGTCTCCCCAAAACTAATCCAACACTCAAAGAAGCCCTTCCAAAACAGAACCTTCTTGAGGAACAACTGCTCGACCCTATCATATGCCTTAGCCATATCCAGCTTCAGCATAAGGTTCAGGGCTCGTAACCTGTTCGCATGGGATATGTCATGGACTCATGGGCCAAAAGAATGTTATCACTGATGACTTGATCCTTGATGAAACCACTCTGGTTCGGAGAGACGAGGGAAGGTAGAAGGGGGACTAAGCGACCATTAAGGATCTTGGAGATGATCTTGTTGGTCACATTACAAAGGCTGATAGGTCTGTAGTCGGACCAGGAACCTGGTCCAGGTCTCTTGGGTATTAAAACAATAGAGGTTATTGTGAAGGGCTCCGACATTTGGTGACCCGAGAAGAAATCCACCACAGCTTCCTCAACGTCAGTCTTCACAATCTCTCAGCAGGTCTGAAAGAAGAGAGATGAATAGCCATCTGCGCCAAAAACGTTGTTGGGATCTATCCTAAAAACAACCTCCCTAATCTCTTACCTACTCGAGAGGTCGCATAAGTCAACAATGTCGACCGACTGCGAGATGGTGGGAAAAAGGAAGCGTTGGGTGGCGTAAGCAAGTCGCGATCTGAGGTGACGAGGGACTGAAAGTGTGTCACAACCGATTCCTATATCTGGGACTCCTGAGTCATGGACAACTATTATCTTAATACAGTGGACGTACGACTTAAATCGACTTCTGCCTCACAAACCCCTGAAAGTACAAGGTATTACGTTTTCCCTCAACAACCCAATGCACAACAGCCTTCTGTTTCTAGAAATCCTCCTCCATAAGGATATGAAGCTGGTACTCAACATGGCAGCGGCGCATCGCAGTCCTATTCTCTGATGATGAGTCCAGATCATAAACTCGCTCAGCATCCCCATACGCAATCTGAGTTGCAGCAAGGCGCTGAGAAATGTCGCCAAAGACCATCTAATTCCACTACTTCAAACTGTACCTCAGTCTACCGAGGTTGGCCTCCAGGTTGCGCATCCCTAAAAGCCTCGTCGAATGTTTCTAGGAAGCCTTAATCGTGTCATGAAACGTGTGGTAGCGGGTCCACATGTTCTGGAACCGAAAGGAAGAGCGACTGGGGGTGGTTGAAAATCGACACCGGATAAGAAGTGGAGCATTATCAGATTCAATTCAAGGGAGGTGTGTGACGGTTGTGATCGCAAACACCCTTGTCCATGCCTCAGAAACCAAGGCAAGGTCGAGCCTCTCCTTGATTCCGACCCCCTCTCACGTAAAGGATGAATCTTTCTATCCAGCGTCGATTAACATACAATCCGCTACGGCCTGAGAGAAATTTAAGATCTCGGCAGAGCGGTCTGACTGGCCACCAATGCGCTCATCGGGACGAAGAAAGATGTTGAAATCACTGTTAATCATCCACAGTGATCCCTTCATGCTCTCAACAACCAAACACATGGTGTCCCTCAGATCAGAGCGACCAACCCTGGCACAACTGGCATAGACCAGGGTGTGGAAGATTGGTTCCGAGAGATGGTCGTCAGAGAGCTTAACGTGCAGAACATGTTTTGTGTCACGGATGAACCGACAGGTAAAGTCACGCGGGGTGAAAGAACTAGATCTTTCTGAGAATATAATTCAAGAGGGGTTATGGATCATGAGCTTTAGGAAAGCAGCAAAGTCCAGATTATGTTCAAGAACAAGGGAATGATCATGAGCAAGAGTGGCCCTATAAGCCAGGCCATGGGCCTTCCAGGTTAGGGATGTGACTGACATATCAAATGTCAGGGGCGCCACCTAACTGGTTCTGCCCGTCGCTAGGCTGAGTTTGTCTATTTGTGAGGGGTATGGCTCTGTTAACCGAGCGCCGCACCGTCCTAGATCTGGTCTGAGGATGGTGGTGGTTTGGGCTCGCAGAAAGTATATCCTCCAGAGATCTAGTCCGAGGGTGGTCTGGGCTATCAAAAGGGGGGTCCTCCAAGGAAGGCAACTGGGGAACTCCAGGACCAGCATCGAGCAAGGCTCGATTATGGGTAGATATAGGCCCCGACTCCTGGGGGAGAGGGGGGAGAATCGGCAGGCAGGGTCGAGAGGGCCTCGACTGTGGGTAGAAAATGAGCACTGGTTGTGGGAACAACCAAATGCTCACTTTCTGGGGAGGGGGTAGGGGAAGCCTAAGTCTTAACTAAGGGAGTGGAGGCGCAAAGAGACCTCAAATCTTGGACGTTGC